TGTATAAGCATTCACTGAAATGAGTAGTCCTGTTTTTTTGTTAAGTTATGCCCTATGTGTGCTCAAAACACAAACATATTTTGCAAGGAAACCACTTCCATAAAAGTCATATTTCATTCATAAGCTAATCAATTACAACAGGAGTCATATTTACAACAAGTAGTCATATAATTACAAAAGCAATCCACACCACATCATATTACACTTGCTCATCACCTATTACAAAAGCAGACTATGACCAATTACCCTGCAAATTTAATGGCCAAAAAAGCAATTATGAAGATACAACAAATTAAACACTTTTTCAGCTTCAAATAACTTGAAGCAACTATCTCAATCCCACTGACTTTGTTTTCCATTTCACAGTTCAAATTCTTCAAACCATCAATCTCTCTATGCAAGTCCAGGTTCTCCTTTTTCAACTGTCAAATCTCATTCAACAGTGCTTGCTCTTTATCCTAGCACTATGTTATCCAAAACTTAGGTTGAGAATCAAAGTCATCATCAAACCAAATGAAAAAATTGCAACCAGATTTCAATTCACATGGATCATTACACAACAGTCCACAGGTATGACCGACTTTCTCACCATCCTTCTACAACAATAAAAAAACAATAAAAGCAATAATAAAACAATTAAAAAAAACCTGACCAAAAACAATCTTAACCGAAAATAAACAAAAATAAAAAACCAGATTCCTCATCAAAGCAGAGCACAGCACAGCACAGCAAACTGATCGAAGAGCAACAGATATAACTAAAGCAAAGAGAAGATATCTGAGTTGAGCAGTATAGAGAAGGATTAACATTAATATATAAACAAATTGCTAAAAGGCCCACATTTGCACAATCCAAAACACAAAAACAAGCTTTACCGAAAATTTTGGATATCCCCAAAACTTGTGTCCATAGTTGAATCGAGTCATAGCAGTTCTTTTAACTAGTCGAAGACCACATTTGCAGAGAACCATAAACTTGCCATAATGAGGAGATGAAGATGGAGAACCAAATTGAGAGGATGGTTAATGGGAATTGCTTGAATACATGCTGGGTTTGGTGATTGGGTGAATAAAAACAAGGAAGATGATAGGACCAGAAATTCAAACAGGAATTAGAGAAGATTAATTGAACCAGAGGGGTCTAAGGGAAGGGAAAAAGAAGAAGAACCAGGGAGGGAGAGGCCCTATTTTGACTGTATCGAAAGATCAAATGATTGAAAAGAAAGAAGAATTTCGAGCAACTAAAGCAACTAGGGTTCCTGGTGCAAGCAAATGGAGGAAACAGGGGGAAATGTTGACAGAGAATTTGGGGCTTGGTGGCGTTAGGGTTTCTACAAATGGAGGAAAATTGGGGGAAAATGTCAAGGGAGAGAGGAGAGATACAAAGAAGACGGTTGCCAAATTTAAAAGAAGAAAACGGGTTCAAGGTGGGCAGCATATGTGGAAAAAAAAATTAAAACAAATGGGTTTAACTGCTGACCATTAAGTCCCAAATGGTCAGCAGTGACGGCAACATGGACAGTGTTAGGGGAGGGACGACAACGAACAAAAAAAGCCAAGTAGAGGGACGACGTTTTGGCTCTTTGGAGAGTAGAGGGACGACGTTTTGGCTCTTTGGAGAGTAGAGGGACGACAACGAACATGACCTTAGTAGAGGGACAAGAACGAATAAAATATTAAAGTAAAGGGACGACAGTTGGCTTTAAACCATTAAGTAGATGTATCTTCGTCTTTAATATTCTATGGGCTTGTAGTTCAAGTCAATTAATTTCACATCACATATATATATTGGCAAAGGATCTCTTCTTTCCATCTGAAAATGTAGATGGCTAGAGTCCCTTGACTTGGTTGTACTAATGTCATCCTCTTTGTATTAGTAGGCTAGAAATTGTTCTTCATTAATTTATTTAGATGAGATAATAGTGAAAACTAGAAAGATTTCAATCAAATGTACATTTAATGTATAATTCAATTTGAATAGTCTAATTTAAACATTCTGTCAAACACGATTTCTTGAAATTTCAGTTTACTCTTTGCTAATTTTTTGTACTTTAACAATCTTAGACTCACTCAGTTGAACTAATTTACGGTTAATACACTATCATCTTTTTTGCCTTTTTGCCATTTTTTTGAAATTTTAAAATTTTCTGAATGAAAAAAAAAAATTAGTAATTCACATCAGCTAATGAAGTTGGACTACATTTTTACATGCAGCTTTAAAGCACAAATCCACACGAAAACACTTGAATTATAATTCATACACGAGAAAGAAAAAAAAAAGGAAAAAGGAAAAGAAATATAGCATGAAATGCTAGCACCAATAGTCACTCATCTTCACTGGATTTTCTCATCCTTCCTCTCCTTGATGTTGACTCAATGTACTCCAAGAAGGGGGGTGAATTGGAGTTCCAAAATTCTCCCCTTTTACAACCACAACACCAAAATTAAAGAGAGTAGAGAAGAAGAACTTGCTTAATGATTTTATAGAGGTTCAGTCCAACCACTTGGAACCTAGTCCTCTATCTTGGCTTCACTCACCAAGGATTTCCTCCACACTCTCCACTAACAAAATCAAGGGTGGCTTAAAGGAACCACTCAATCATTTTACAAGAAGAAGGGTGCTTCTCTCAAATCTCACCCCTTTACAAGATAAACCCAAACAATTCTTTCTACAAATCACTCTTGAAGGAATAATCACACCCCCAAGATTACTCACAAATAGAACAAGAAGAGGATTACAAATAAAGATCTCTCAAAGATCAAAATCTCAAGATAAAGCACAAGTTGATAGGTAAAGATATTCAATACAATGCTCTCTACACTTCTTCAAATCTATTACCAACCATATTTATAGCCCCTTGCTTGAAATGGTCATGGGCTATCACCTTCATGTTCTTCTTCCCTTTGTTTTGCCATTTCTTGATCTGCATCACCTTCTTCTTCATCACTTTGTTGTCCCATTGTTTGATCCCCTCTTTTCCTCTAATCACCATTCCGAAACATAATTTGCATTTTCTCAAAGGATGCTTGAGTGAGAGTAGTCCCAGCTTTAATTTTCCCATGCTTAAAAGATTCAAGATCAATGTTGTTCCTCTTTACTAGCCTAGTGATCAATGCACCATGTAGAAGACCCATATCTGAGGAGTAATTCTTGATAATGTTATGGTAAACAAATCTACCAAGGTTCAACCTTTGCCGCTTCAGGAGATAATCAAACCAAGGAAGATCATTAGTAAGCATAGAAGACTTAGACCCCTTTCTTTGAGCAAGAATACGACTAATAATCCACTACAATCCTCTGTTTTCTGGTGAAAGAAAGCCCACACTAATATGATTTGTAGCACATGTCGACGCAAGTGTGAGTCTAATTTCTTCATGGTTGAAATTCTCAAATTCATCATCTCCACCCTCTGGTATGTCTAACACATTACAAATCACTCTAGGTGAAAACTAAATTGTGTTCCCATTAACCATAGTTGTGCACTTTCCCCTTTTTTGTTTCAAATTTGCATAGAATTGGTGAACCACATCATTATACACATGCTCTTTAATCTCTAAAAAATTTCTCCATCCAAGTTCCCTAAAAATCTCTTCTACATGCATATTCCCTTGAGGAAACTGACTAAACTTCACATTGTTGCATGGTAACACAGCCAAGTTTTTGACAAAATTATAGCGATTAATGGCATCATCATCCACAAACAGAGCATTATCAATGAGGTTACCTTCTTCCTGGGCTTGGCCACCAGCACTAGAACTCCCAATCTGTTTCCTTTTGCTTCCGCCCCTTCTTGAAGCCATTGAAGCCATGAGAGAGAACAACAGATTCCACATGAAATTGGAGTGAAAAGCTTGAGGATTTGTGTTGGGTTGCAAGGATTTGAGAGTATTTGAGTGTCTAAGGGATGGGTTTTGCAGATTTGGAGAGTTTGAGTGTTTGGGAGAGAGAAATCGTGATTTTGGAATGAGGAACTAAACCAATCTAGCGCGAAGAGAGAGAAAAACTGAATGATTTAACAAACAGCAAGAAAGTCGGCTTTAGTCTTGGAGCCGGCTTAATGTTAGAGAGAGAAAACTCTCGGGTTTTTGGGTTGAGCCGGCTGTGAAAAAGGTGCAGCCAACTCTATTGGCCTTGATTGGAACAAGTAAAAGGTTTAGGGCTGTTTGGAAGACAATGCACTTTAATTTGATATCTCTTCATTTAACTAAATTTAAATTGGACATCAACTACTAAATTATGCAACTTTAGTCATATATCAATGTATGCATCATCAAATAGCATGAATATAATCAAGGTACACATATCAAAGTCATCAATATGCATAAATTCTAATAAGCAAATACATTAATTTCAAAAATCATATCAAGCACTAGGATTTAACATGCCAAGCTCATTAATTTGCAAAAATTTTAATAATCACATCAAATGATATCATATTCAACAAGCATATCTATCAAAGAGTGAACACACATAAACAAATCATTAATAGTCATGTTGAAGTAATTATACTCAATGAATAAATGCAATAAAATAAATAATACCAATTTGAGCACATGAGTGGAGCATTCAAAAACAAATTTCCTTTGCACTTCCACTCCAACATTCTTGTTAAGGCATAAGTCTTTATTAAGATCAACTTTGCTTTCCTTATGACTTTGCCATCAACTTTTCCTACAAAACAAAATTAATTTTTGATTTTTGGTACCTGAATTTGCTTGGGTCCATGGGGGTTAGTGCTTAAAGTTCCTTTTGGAACCCAAATTTGCTTCACTTTACCTTGAGCTATCAATCTCTTCAAAGGACATACATAAGCAAAGTGTCCCTTTTTTACACCACAACAATAGCAAGTAACATTAGGATGAGAGGATTGACTTGCTCTTACAAAAGAATTCTTAAAAGTCTTTTGCTTTTTAGAATAATCAAATCCAATGCCCCCTTTGTCACAAATACTTCTTTGAGATTTTAATATAAAATCAAATTTTTCTTTACTCAAGGTAAATTGGAAATCACATTCTCAAAATCACAAGCTTTTCTCTTTAAGACCTCATTTTCCTTCTTTAAATCTTCATTTTCCTTCTTTAAATCTTCATTTTCCTTCTTTAAATCTTCATTTTCCTTCTTTAAATCCTCATTTTCCTTTTTCAAAGCATTATTAGACTCCTCATTCTTTAAAGAAGCAATCTCACCATTTAAAGAGGCATTCTCTTTAACTAAAACCTCATTTTGTTTTGAGAGAGATTCAATTTCATTCCTAAGCAATGAAATGGTTTTAGTAAGAGCAATATTCTCATTTCCTAGTTTCTTAATGTCATTTATAAAGCAATCAAGAACTTTGCATAAATCATCATAAGAATACTCAAATGAAGTTTCATTAATTGAACTAGAGAAGTTAGAGTTTACCTCCTCATCATGGTTGTTATCCTCTTGAGCCATGAAGTAAAGATTTGCAACACCTTTCTCCAAGGAGCTTTCACTTTCCGTTGAGCTAGTCTCATCATCGCTCCAAGTGGCGGCAAATGCTTTCTTCTTCATGCTCCTCTTGCCTTTCTTCTCACCCTTTTTCAAATTGGGACATTCATTTCTATAGTGCCCCATCTTGTTGCACTCATAGCATTTCACATTCCTTTTGGTAGACTCTCCTTCATCTCTTTGTGCAAGCTTGCTCTTGATGTTCTTCTTCATGAATCTCCTCACTTCTCTAGAGATCAAGGTGGAGATGTTTTCACCATCACTAGCATCATCTTCACTCTTTTCCTTTTGGTTGCTAGCCTTGAATGCAACATCCTTCTTCTTCTTCTCAACTATTTCAACTCCACCATCAACTTGAACTTCTATCTCATATGTCATCAATTTTCCAATGAGAACTTCAAGCTTAAGAGTGTTGAGATCCTTAGACTCTTCAATTGCGGTCTTCTTGGCTTCCCAATTCTTAGGCAAGCTTCTAAGAACCTTCCTCACCACTTCTTGAGAAGGATAAACTTTACCAAGAGCCTTGAGATTGGTGACTATATCATTCAATCTTGTATACATATCTTGAATGCTCTCCTCTAGTTTCATCTTGAAAAGCTCATACATGTAAATGAGTCTATTGATTTTTTACTCCTTCACTTGACTTGTTCCTTCATGTGTTACCTCCAACATGTCCCACATCTCCTTGGCCGTATCACATCCGAATACTCTATGGAATTCCGTTGGATTAAGAGCACATTGAAGCATGTTGATTGCTTTGTTGTTGATCATGATCTTACCTTCATCCTATTCTTCCAATAATTATAATTAGTCCCATCAAAGAAAGGAGGCCTAGTGGTAAACAAACCTTCAAGTGGTTGAGAAGCTTGAAATTGAGCCATCCTTGATCAACTCCTAGGTGGTTAAACCTTCAAATTGGAGACTTTGCTCTGATACCAATTGTTGACTCAATGTACTCCAAGAGGGGGGGTGAATTGGAGTTCCAAAGATTCTCCCTTTTTGCAACCACAACACCAAAATTAAAGAGAGTAGAGAAGAAGAACTTGCTTAATGATTTTATAAAGGTTCAGTCCAACCACTTGGAACCTAGTCCTCTACCTTGGCTTCACTCACCAAGGATTTCCTCCATACTCTCCACTAACAAAATCAAGGGTAGCTTAAAGGAGCCACTCAATCCTTTTACAACAAGAAGGGTGTTTCTCTCAAATCTCACCCATTTACAAGATAAACCCAAACAATCCTCTCTACAAATCACTCTTAAAGGAATAATCACACCCCCAAGATTACTCACAAATAGAATAAAAAGAGGATTACAAATAAAGATCTCTCAAAGATCAAACTCTCAAGTTAAAGCACAAGTTGGTAGGTAAAGATATTCAATACAATGCTCTCTAAACTTCTTCAAATTTGTTACCAACCATATTTATAGCCCCTTGCTTGAAAATAGCTGTTTCTAGCCGTTGGGGTCATTAAATGCTCTACAGGACGCAAAGCTCGAGTTGCAGGATTGTCAGGAGAGTTGGCTTAACTTCCTAGAGCTGGCTTAACTTCCTAGAGCTGGCTCTGAACAGCCAACTCACCATTTCTGCAGCCAGCTTTACGAGATTCTGCACATTCTGTTTCTTCGTAAAGCCGGTTGCAAAATGCAAAGTCGGCTTTGCGGGTTTGCTGAATATTCTGTTTTCTTGGACAGCCGACAAAATGCTGGCTTTGATATTCCAACTTTAAAAATATTAATTATTCTTTAAATAAGTCGGTCGTGGTGCATTAAATGCACCTTTACAGCCGGCTGCAAAGTTAGAGCCAGCTCTACGTCTTTTCTTCGCACGCGCAAAACAACGGACCTTTAAATCTTTACCCGTAGAGCCGACTGCAGCTTTCAAGAGCTGGCTCTCTGTACATACTCAAGCCTTTCTGGTCCATTTTTAAGTGCAGTCCAAGTTTACCTGTAATCTTTTAGTAATTTAACTATACACTTAATTAAACCAATTAGTCACTCAAACATGTTTTATAATCATCAAAATCATAGGTACAACACTTGATATTATTTACTGGTGTTAAAATATTAGCATTAATTTACATGATATTAGCATGTTCATATTGCAATTAATGTATATATTCAAATTTATTAGTTTTGTATATAGGAATATTTTATTGTATAAATCTATATATGGATCCTTTATATACTTAATGAAAATAAGAAAACAATAAATCTTTCTTCAAATATTTCTTCCTCTTTTTAGTTTCCAACAACTAGAACTTGAGATATTGTATACATTTACTTATTTAATAGTAATATGTGAAAATTGTATAAAAAATTATAAAAAAAATTTATTTACATATCATTACCTTAATGAAAATATAAATGACCAGTTTGTTGTTTACTTTCCTAATTTTCAGCAGAAGAATATGTTTGTTACTAGTAAAAAGTAGAAATATTCAAATGAATGATGATCAAGGATTAAGTTAATGGGCAAATAACCTAAGCGTCGGTTAGTTGTCCTCCATTTCTTTTGTGCCTTTCGGCCTCAAAGCACAATTTTTACTTTCAAAGAATGAATTATGCCAGCACTTCTATGGCATTGAATTGTGTGCATTGGAAATTTTTAACAGGGTAATGATATATGTGTAGTTTTTTTTC